CTACGTAAATTTTACTATTTTTTCCCATCCATTAAAATTATGGGTAAGGCAGGTAGCATTCGTTAAAACACAATTCTTTTACATTATAAAAAGTGAAGTCGAAAAGCATAGTCTTAAGCTCGTAGTGCTCTCTCCCCCAAATACGTCTACTAATTAACGCAAACTGGTTTTAATTGCCACACAAATGTATGAAAGACAGAAACTTTTACCTGCTGATTTTTGTAGAAAGCTACATCTATATTTCTTCAGCAAAACAAAACTTCGAAACTTGGATAGCTGATCGTGGCAGACGCAGAAAGAACTATCCATCAATTTTCAGACAACGGAATATATGGTCGTTAGCAAAATGGGTATCCCAATATGCGTGTTACGAAATGGAGACGCCAGAAACAATTAAACACAGAAATTCAACCATCTGGGAAATCTTATAAAAGACGCTGCAGAATGTAACACAAAGGCGGACTGGAAAAGCGAAAAATAAATTCCAAAATCTCAGCAAAATATTGAGAATGAGAAAGCATTTAATGTTTAAATATATAATATTAATCATGTGCTGTGCTGAAATAATAGCTATGATTATATTTTAATATTGAATATATAAAATAAAAATAGAAGTATTTTAATTATAGTATTATTAATGTAATAATTTCAGTATAATGATTAATTTTATATTATGTCATAATGCAAAATAATATAAAATAAAATCTTAAATAAAAGTATAATCATAAAATATTAAATAATATTTTAATATTTAGCAAATATTTAGCGTAAGATATGGAACTAGGAATGATTTATAATTGACGGATACAATCCTAACAATTTAATACATGCAGTGTTGATGGTAAACGCAAAGAGAAAACTGCAGGAACTTTAAAACAAGTTCGTATAGAAAAGTGAAAAAAGAGTCTTCCTTCTTACTGTTGATGAGTACATCAACTGAAAGAAGACAGAACTTATAGTCATTGAGTTGAAGAGTAACCACCAACGTGGTATGCATTGCAGACGTTAGAATCAAACAGTCACAAGGGAGCTTTTTAAGAGACAACAGAAAATGCGACACGAATACCCAAAAGTGCATTTCAATAGTTTAATTCCAATCGTGAAAAGAAAGAAAAAAGTTTGCTTGGTTCTTTTATATATCATTGAATTGAGGACTATTTCCTCGCGGATAAAGTGAATACTTGACGCAGCAAAGCTGTGGTTGTGCAGGAATATACAAAGATACCATGAATGGAACATTTGAACAATGATTAAGTTTCAAAGAGAATTGGATCAAAAATGAAAACTTCTGCTTAGGATAAGAAAAAAGACAGATGGAATTTCTGGGACACAACAAAGAAGAATGGCTTTAAGAATTTGACACATACGGGACAAACTGAAGGCAAAAATGGGAGGAGATAAGAAAGACTTACTGACCTAATGATCTTGTGCAAATGGATGGCAGAAGAGAGATGAGGAGAGATAATAAGGGGCAGAATATATTGATTAAGATTAAAAAGTATGTGAAGAACTATGATTAAGCTATGTCCTCAAGGGTCACAACACATAAAAAGATTTCAAAGATAATGGAAACATTCTTCCTGCCCAATCGGCTTTTTTCTGGTTTGTAGCAATGTATTCAATAAATCGAATTGTCCCTTCTCTGCGTGGAATCCATTTAAGGGTTATACCACAAGGTATCATGTGTCATTTTTGACCAGCAGAATCTGGATCTCGTACCTGAGATTGAGGAAATCAAGTAGTTTTCCCCTTGCATTCTAAGTACGTAGTCATTAGTGTTAAATAATGATCTAAGTAATAAAATTTATTAAAAAATCATTAGAAAGACACGCCAGAAACAAAGGGGCGCTTTGCATGAATAGATGTATCACATTAGATTGTATTGAACATTAACTACGATTATTACACCCATTAAATAAATACCTACAATATTTACATACTATTAACCATTAATAATAATCCTTGACAAATTGACAAGAACATGGAGGAGTAAAACCAGGTTTCAAAGTACATACTGTCCAAATCGCTGGTAGTCTCCATTTTCCTATAGGGATGTGAAACGTGGATACTGTTGACAGATACAGAAAGAAAGATCCAAGCGTTTGAGAACAAGTGCATGAGAAATCCCCTTGGCATTTTCTATTGGGAACAAAAATACAAAGAGTTTTTACGGAAAAAGGCTGAAAGTTTTGTGAGCCATCAGGAATCTCTTCTGGCCACTGTCACACGGATAGAAATCGTGGTTAGTGCACATTACAACGCACGACAGCCTATGCAAGACCATCATGAAAGACACCGTTGAAGGTGGATGTAGGAGAGGACACCAACGCAAAATGTTTTGATTATGTCAAACAATGGAGAGGTAAGACTGTATTAGAATTGCTGATGGCTGCTGTTGATAATCTGCTGTGGAAAAGAGTTAGTGTGGCTTCTGCATTCGGATCCGCCCAACGATTTCAAATGTCAATCCTTTGTTATATTATTTAGTATATGATTCCCGACAAGAAATACCAGCTGATCTGATTCGAATATAAGGTCAATAAGGAATTTAATTTTTGAAGAAAAGTTGATTTATGTACGAGACTCAGCCCAAAAGATACTAAAATAATCTTTGAGCCTAGTGGCACGACAGACGATCAGATAAGCCTGGTGTGAAACTGGACGGTAACCTCGTGCACACCATATGCATATTAGTGTGTCATAATGTCAGTGGCTGCCCCGACGCGTACAGGATGTTCACCATCCAGAAGATCTAAATTGGGAAAACACACACATAAGTCGATATTGAGGACATTCAGTTGTGAAGAACAATTCGACGCGTAAGAGATTATGAAGCGTCTTCTTAACAGTCTGCAAAATGGTGACGTTCCATTTATATCACATTAATCATTACTAATGACGCTTTGATTACAATGTTATAAGTCTTGACCTGACATCTTGGCTTCCGTCAGTGTCCAACTGACGTAACCTGAGCTCCTTTATGTTAGTTCTATGAATATTTCCATATTAATTGTTCTGGTGAGATTTCCCCTATGGTACGTAGATTTTATGAATTTAAGCGCAGTACTTGATTGGCGGCAAGGTCTCACCATTTTACAGTTGAAATGGCTCGATGTAACCGAAAGTTATAAGCTAACAGTTTCTTTTATCGCAATTCTTGTTTGTGTAACTCTCTTTTCATGCTTCCCACTCAACTCAAAAATTTAAATTTAATATCAATCGTCCCTTTCATTCCTATTATTTTATAGCACTCTCTTCTTAATGTTTTCTTTTTCTTCTATTATCCCACATCCAGTAACTCCTTGTGTCTTAGCGGCTTTATTGCCGTGTTGGGTGTAAATTGGTTAAAAAATATTTTAATAATTATTGACGATTCTTACATCTCATTAATCATTAACAGCAATCATGAGTTATTCCGGCACATATTGAAATCTGTACAGGTTTATTTTAATAATAATAATAACAATAATAATAATAATAATAATAATTCGACGTAATCTGCAGCTGCATTATAATATGTGCTATGCAGAGGCTACATAAGGTGACAAATTTAAAGTTATCCTTCTTCTAAACTGGTTAACAATTGTGGCTATAAAACCCAATATGTGTGCGTTGCTATTTAACCCATTGCTGTGGGAGCAACGGTGTATTTTCGCAAAAAGAGATGAATCTGAGCTTTAATTCGGATTGCATCGCTGGTTTCTCGTTGGGTGTAGCTAACCTTTACATAAACTATACATCTGATATTTCGGATCGATCTACGGACGTGAAGCCTTTTTTTTCTAAAAATAATTGAAAAAAATCGAGATTACGATTGACTGATCAAAATTTATAAAAAATGCAAAGACTTCTCACAAAGCAATTTAATACAAAACATTAAAAAAAAATGTGAAATCAAAGCAGACTCAAAAGTTTCATTAATGGAATTAATTCTCACTTTATTTTTTATAGTAAATCAATAATGCTTAATATTTTAATGTAAATACTTTTACACGAATTAATGAGATTTAAAGATTTGTATGACGAGTCTGAATTCGTGTGTAACAAAACTGATTCATAGAATGAGAAACGTCAAACATTCACGGTGGACAACTGCGCCAACTGTTTTCATTGATGGAACAAAAGGCCGAAGAAAATGGTCTGTTTTTAAATGATCGATGATAACTACGTTGTTTGATAACGTGTGCCGTTAAATATATACAAAATGAATTAAAAATAACGCGTATGAGAAAGCAATAAATTCACATTTTCAGAAGAACTTAAATATTATTGATTAAGTGCAAATTTAGGCTGCAGTAAGAGAAAATGATCTGAGCTCATTACATCAACGCAAGTGATGATTAGTCCCACCATATTAACTGTTGAATCCAACAAATCAGATGAATTTTCCATTCTTGAAAACCATTCCCAAAAGAATTAATGATTATTTGCGGGTACTTACGAAATAACATCACATTAATCATTAGTAATGATTAATGTGCTACGTAGGGGCTACATAAGATTATAAATTTAAAGTTCTCCTTCAGGCGACTTCATTGTAGGGATCATTACTGACGATTCTTAAAACCGTAAAGTTACGATCGATCATTTGGAATCAGGTCATTTTTTTTTACCTTTTGTTTCATCAATGAAAACAGTTGGCGCAGATGTCCGACGTTTCTCATTCTATGAATCAGTTTTGTTACGCACGAATTCAGACACGTCATCTAAATGTTTAAATCCCATTAATTCTTGTAAAAGTATTTGCATCAATTGATTTTTAATTCTTCATTGCTTTAGGTTTTACTGTATGAATATTTTTTATCGGTCTCGGTTCAAACATAAATTATGAAATATCTACCAGAATTCAAGTTCTTTCTCCTTTACGAATTATTCCCTGTAGGTTACCCGGATCTACATACGCATGAGGAAGGCCGGAGGGCATGACGGCCGAAATGTTATGATAACAACAACAAATATGAGAAAAATAACATGTAATTAATATAAAAAATGACAACTAGTCAATTTCTTTCTCCCTTTCCCTCTATCTCTTTTGTTTTCTCTTTTTCTCCTTCTATTTCTTTCTTTCCCTTTCCTTCCCTATCTTTCACTTTATCTCTTTGTCTTTCTTTCTTTCTCTCTTTTTTCTCTTTATCTTTCTGTCTCCTTCTCTTTCTTTATCTCTCTTTCTTTCTTTCTTCCTCTCTTTAGACCTCTCTTTCTCTACCTCACGCTTTCTCTCCCTCGTTCCATCTCTCTATTTCTCTCCCTATCTCTCTCTTTCTTTCTCTTGCTCACGCTTTCTTCTTCTCTTTTATCCCCCTCTCCCACTTTCTCTCTCTCTCTTTCTCTGTCTTTTTCTTTCCCTTCGATTTCTTATTCTTTCTCTTTCTCTCCTCACTCTCTTTTTCTCTATCCGTCTCTTTCTTACACTCTACGTCTCTCACACTGTAGGTTTCTCCCTTTCTCTTCCTATCTCTCACTTTCTCTCTCTCTTTCTCACACTCTCTTTTCTTCTCTCTTTATTTCCCCTTCAATCACTTTCTCTCCTTCTCTCCCTTTTTTTCTCGCTCTCTCTTTCCGGAAGTGAGTAATGCGATAGAAGAAACCGTTAGCATAGAACTTACGGTTGCATCTCGCCATTTTAACGGTAAGATGATGTGACGTTTCCGCCAATCTAGTACTGCGCTTAAATACATAAAGTTTATGTACCTTAGCGGAAAGTTCACCAGAACTTTCGAGAACACACACTGAGGAAAGAAGATTTGAAAATTTGATACTTAAATGACAGGTTGAAGTCAAGAGGGATGGAATAAAAACAACACATAAAATATTGATTCGTTGATCAATTCATTTTCGACGATTTATCAACCTTTTGCAGATTATTTAATATTGCTGATTCTTATTTGGATGTTATCCAGGAGGTCAAGATAAATAGCAAGAGAACCGGACCCTATGTGGAAGCAATATTCTAAACATGCCGAATTGTAGGCATAGATATATATGCTATATTGTGGACAGTAAAAATATCTTGCACGACACACTGAACAGACTTTCTTAGCTGCTGATCTAAGGAATGGACTCACTTTCCACTTCATGCCAGCTGAGAACGTTGTCTTGAGAAGGCGTCACTTTCCTGGGGGTTAGCTTCAACCAATGGAAAGCAGAGAGAAGTCTCTCAGATGATTAATGGTGAGGAATTTAGTTTTAGAAGCGTAAAAATTAATAAGCCATCTCTTGCCCCACGTAACAACAGACAAAAGAGGTTGCCATTTTGATCTTATTGAACTTAACAGACACACTGTCGAGAAAGGAGGAAATAGCTGTATTATCTGTGTATCCAATAATTACATTTTCTACAGAATGATAAGAATGCTAAAAAAATAAGACAGTTAAAAAATATGGGGAAAAAGGAACAAATCACTGGATTTTTTTATGATTTGAAGAACATAATTATTTAACATTTTACAATATATTTCAAATATAAAAATAATTTGAATTGAATTTTAAACAATGAATATTAAGTCATTTGCAGAATTAATGTGTCGGAGTAAGTTAGAACATTAAACAATCTTTTAATTGATTATATTTATTTTACGGTGTTTTTTGTCTAGGTATGCTAAATTTCTCCTTCGAAATTAAATAAAAATGATTCGAAACTCTCCGATTCATAGAAAAAATTATTCATAATATATAATCTAAATCTAAAACTCTATAAAAATGGTTTTAAAAACCTTGTAATATTAAATAGAAATTCATTAAATAACTTTACTCTGAAAAGATTCAATTGCCTTAAATAAAAATGAATCTATATAAAAGACAATTTTGATTATATGCCTTATATACCAAATATACTTTCTATGAATAGAAATTCCTTCGCTTCTTCTTGGTTTGGATGGGAAGAATCAAATTTTGGGTAAATGTTCTGCCTTTTCAAATTCCAGGAAGATGGTTACTCGTAATGCCTGATAATCCTGTTTTGTTTTTGTTTTTTTTTGTTTCTTTTTTTTCAGTTTTACAGAAAGATAAACACCTGATACTGACCGGAGAGCACAAAGGCTGAAACGTTGTGACAAAAGCAATAAAGATGAGGAGAATAATTCAAATATATATAGCGTGAATAAGACAATGATAACATTTACTTTTTTTCCATATTTGGGAGAAGAAAGAAAGAAATACAGAAAGAAGGATAGAATAGACTAAGCCATAAAGACTATTTCCTAAGGTTATTTTTTTAGTGCTAAGAGTTCTCTTCCAGTGTAAAGTTTGGAAGGGCACAATTGTCCCATCCAAGACATTTCCTACATCAGTTAACAATTGATTGGAGGTCCTTTTCAAAAGCAGCAGCCAGTTAGGCAGATTTGCTATTGAAATAGGAGTAAATAAAACTGATCTCATTTAACCACCATAGAGAATGTTTTCTGCCTACCATCACCATGGCTGACACTAAACTACTGGAAAGCAACACACTGCGCCTTTTTGGTATTTTCAACTGACGTTGTGGAGCGATAACATCCAATCAATAACTGCATGTACTACAAGAAAAGTTGGTTCACTCTCGCCTGGCAGAAAAAGTCTCGCATCAGTATCCATTTTGAACATTTACAAATCTACTATTTACCGTGTATTGAATGCTGCTGCCATATTTATTCTGGTAGTCCTGTCGTAAATCTCGAGATTCTTGCCAATATACAAAGAAAGATCTGTAATGTTATCGATCCTGATCAGGCATCTCGACTTCAGTCACTCTCTCACCGACGTGACATGGCTTCCCTCTGTCTTTTCTATACAGATATTTTCATGGCAAATCCTGTTTCCTTAATGATTCTGACTACAAAAATTTAAGCATGCCACTGGATTGGCACGTAGGTCCCACCCGCTTACTGTTGATAAAAATAAATGCAACTGCCACTTCTACTCCAACAGTTTCTTTTCTTGCACTTCCCGCCTCTGGAAATCTCTTACGTTTCCTTGTTTTCTTGATAGCTACAATCTTCAAAAATTTAAATGCAACGTCAATAGCCGTCTTCTATCTTGAATCCCGTTCCTCTCTTGTCTTTTTCTCAAGACTCCCTCTACTCAGTCTTTTCTTTCAATTTCAACTGATGTAACACCCTGCGTACGCGTGGAATTCTCGGCTTGCTTGGGGTGAAATGAAATATGTATTTAATCATACGTGACCTTGTATTGTGACCAGCTACGTTTAGTAAATATCATTATTTTTACAACGATTTTTGCTTTTTATCACTGCCCTGCCACGGAAGTTAATCTCTTTCGGGCAGTTCTTTTTTGTTTCTACTATTTAAAATATTAATGCCGATAGGTTATCGTGAATTTACCGCGATTAGAACGTCAGGTCGTTTGTGTTTTCTTCAGTCCAACACCCCAGGGTTTACTGCTCAAATCCTTGCGCAATCAAGCAAGTGAATATATAGAATGCATCGGACATGCCCTGCATAAACAAGCTAGCACTATCAGAAAGCGAACACTTGCATGGAATCAACGAGAAAAGCAAAACGTTTAGAGGCCGGAGGGGACTGGGTCACGAACATGCAGATCCGGAGGTAAATGAATGCAGCTAGAACGAACCGAGCTCCCTGGCATGATGTGGGTTTAGGCCTCGGCACCTGTTTTTTTTATGATTTTTGAAATGAATGAGTTTCCTACACTTTAGTGTAAATAACAAGGAGCACTTTGTTGGCAACGTATCTAGGAAAAAGACAAAATTATAATAGACAAGACAGTGAAAACTACGAGTAATCATACTAATATCTTTGCTAAGAACAGCCTTGATAAGGCATCGTTTATAGAAATTAAATTTAATAAAACTGCTGCAAGTTATACCCTTAAATTGAAATGACAGGAGAAATAATGATGTTATTCCGTTTAATCCTTATGGCTCAAGTAGGGCAATAAAGCAACTAAGATGCAACGGTTTACAGTGTATGAAAGCATATGAGAAAAAAAGAAAGAAAATATTATTAATGAGAGAGAACAATAAAAGAACAGGAATTTCGAAAACAGAAGATATCGATCGATTTACATTGCTTTTAATTTTTTGAAGATCCAAATTGACTAGGAAGCAAGAAGCCGGGAGTGAGTTCCACAGTCGAGAAGTGCGAGAGAAGTTACTTTTAACATAGAACTTACATCGAGCAATTTCAACTATGAAATGATGAGACCTAGCTGCCAATCTAGTACAGCGTTTAAATTCATGAAGTACCTAAGACAAAAGTTCATCAGCAAAATTAGAATGAAAATATTTACAGAAAAGGAACAGAGAAGCTACGAGAAGGAGGTGGGGAAAGTGCCTAAAGCCGAGAAGACTGGTCAAGACCAATAACATTGCAGATTCTTCTTTTAGGTTCATCCAAGATCTCTAAAAGAGAAACACCAAACAAGATGTGACGGTGATATTCAATGCATGGTCGAATGTTGGATTTATAAGGATTTTCAAAACGTAGCTTACATGTGACACGTGGCCGAAAGTATGAGGCACCAAGTGAGAATCGATCTCACTATTCAGTCGTAATTGATCTAACGAGGCAAGCTTGTTAACTATTGCATCTCACTGATGTGACCAATTTTTTTTAGTGTAGCATACACGTGGCACAAGGCCGAATGTTTCAGACACGCAGTGAGGATCGAACTCACTATTCAGTCGTAATTGATCTAGCTTCGCAAGCTTGTTAACCATTACACCACGTCGAAGTGCCCCAATATGGTCTTCTAGGTGTAGCATAGATGTGGCACAAGGCCGAAAATTTGGAGGACTCAGTGAGGATCGAACTCACTACTCAGTTGTAACTGAACTAGCGATATATATATATATATATATATATATATATATATATATGTGTGTGTGTGTGTGTGTGTGTGTGTGTGTGTGTGTGTGTGTGTGTGTTTAAGATAGATACTAGCAGGAAATGACGTTTAGCACGATGCAGTGCAGCAATTTTTCTATCAGCAGACCTAACAATGGATTTAATATTATCTTTCCACTTCATCTTAACGGAATCCATTAGCCCGAGAAATGGCAAGTAATCAATCTCCTGGAAGTTACCTGTTTCAATTTGGCTTTGCGCTTAAGGACGACACGATATATCCCATCAAACTCAGAGTATAATCTTTTCGGCTTTAGTTCTGGTTTGGTGAAGTATTCTCTTTTTTCCATGGGTGCTAAGCAAACCAATTTTATATCCATGTTGATGATTCATCTCCCGAAATATTCAGTAGCAAGCTTATACTCCAATGATGATCAGAAGACATTTTTTTCATTAAACCGAGAAGCAACCAGTTGTTGACGGACCCATTAGCCAAGTTTCAACAGTTTGAGTTCATGAAAATATTTTAGGAATCAAGTGTGGCTTGTATTGAAATGTGCCTACATTTCCCCTCAAGTACAGCTTGTAGAAGCTGAATATTGACAAATTTTTGCCTTCCAGATCGCGGAGAATCTTCTAGAGAATCATTTCTGAATCAAAGGTAGCTAAACTATCTGGAAATCTGAAAGTTCATTTCTAGAAAGGGAATGGATATGACTTGCCATTTCCGTTCCTGAAGAACATATTTTTAAATTTATAGAATTTCTTAT